AACCTTATTGGCTTTTGTTTAGTGATTTGATGGAAGACTCACAAAACGGCTACTAGAGCGCCATGCTCATGGATGTATTTCCTTTTCATTCCCTTTCATGGTACTTAATAAAATTTCTTTAATCGTGAACACTAGTGCACAAAGTGGCAATGCATTATCATTTGAATTAGAATTTTACTGCGATCCTCATTAGTAAGAAATCACAGACTTGTAGTTACCAGTTCACATGTTTTGGGAAACAATTTGATATTGAACTTCAAAAGTTCTAAGTGCTTTTAGAGAATTTTACTTTGGGAGAGCAATCTGAAATTTGTTTAGAAAACCATTGCAAATAATTCTTTGCAAACAGTCCATTTCAATTCTAACAGAAATCGTGATAAGGAGATAATCAAAACGAACTCAAATGTTTTTTTATTTCCTTTAGTTTTTTCCAGAAGGCAAAGGTTTGTGGTCACTATTTTTCTGAATAATTTATCAATTCTCGACCATTGGTTTGTGTACATGTTTCCCCTCAGGAATATTCACTGAAACTCAAAGAACTGTATGCTATATGTTTTCGGGCCTCACTCGGTACCCATAGGCGAATAGGTGAATGTTGTGTTGTACAGGTACTACTCTTTCTACAAGTATACTAGTAATGAAGGTAGTATTCTGGGGGACACTTCAATTGAGAAGTTGTCCCATGAGGTACTATGCGAATAGATGCCCATAATTGTCAAGCAACATACGCAGCAAAGATGAAGTTCTTTTAGAGGCATTATCTTATTTAGCTTGTCCCTATCCACCTGTGTCCTTAGCGCTTCTAATCACACGTGTCCTTTTAATGTTTATTGAGGTTCTTGTGTCTGTATAATAAGCCTTATGTATTTAGTAGCTATACGATAATAACAATATCTTTGGGTTTGTCTTAAATGCTTAGAATGGAGAGCTTGTTTGAGAGGCATATATATGAATTGGACACGAGGAGAACAAGTTATGTAATCCTAGAAATGGTATGAGTGATGCATAAGTAGGAGTTAGATTGACAAATAAATGAGAGATTGTCAAGATAACAAACATTTAGGCTTCTAGTGCTATTGAGTTGAACTTCGTGCAGAGAACCTAATTTTAACTATACAGCATGAAGTGTTTTGACAATTTGTGCTAAAGGGTTAGAGCAAAATTCTCTATGATTCCAAGCTTATTAAAGGAGGAAGGTATCTCAGCGATCTGTTTTAAATTTAATATCCTACGTAAGCCAGAGTTTTTTAGAAGCTAAGGCTGTTTTATGAAGAAGAGAGAGATTGTGCTCATCACTCTTAAATTGGCAGCAACTCAAATGGATGTTCTCTCCTCACACCTTCGTAATGCCAATCTATGCTATCTTTGCCCCTATCAGTTTTCATGTTGTTGTATGGAAATTCTCATTTATAAGCAATAGTACACTTATGACCTGAAATTCTAATGAATCTACTAAATGGTGTTTCTTTCTTGATCACTGGACAGTGGGATAGCCTTGAATGAATGGTCGCTTTTTTCAACTTATTTTATATATATCTTCTGACACAAAGGCTGATATTTGTAAATAGGTTTTGGGTGGGCAAAGTATTTCCAATTTATTCTTGCAAAGGCAGAGTAAAGGTGGCTATCTGTACCGCAAATTGGTATTACTGTGTAGCAAAGGTCGAAGGGCACACTTGAGCAACTGTGAACTGTAACTATGTTTCCCGTTCTCAGGGTTTGGTGTGTATGTGCCGAGTATTCCGTGATGCTTCGAGTTTTCCTTGTTTTTCTCCATTGACCATATAAATTCTCTCTCAATTATTGTGACTTTTATGACTTTTTATTTTCCCCTTGAATTCCCCTAGTGTTGTGAATAGGAGTAATGGTGACTTGGTTGGTGACGATGTACTTAGCGACATAGAAGCCGGAAGGGATCTCCGGTATATTCCGGTTAGGGAGAGAGAAGTTGAACGAGAAAAAGGTTAATGGAAGTTGGATGGAGCGAACGTCTCGAGCATGTCAGGTTTTACTTGTAGCTCGAGGAGAGCAAGACAGGGAGAAGCGATGCAGTGCTGCGGACGGAAGATCAGGTGAGCATAGGCAGAGAGAGTCAGGAGGACGCCAAGTCACACAGAATGTATAGCTTGGGTATTTATTAAAGCAGTGCCGTAAAGATAGAAAACTTAAATAGTGGGTGTAGCCAACTTAATATGAAATTTTGGAGAGCTGTAAGTATCGAGGTGCATAAACAGAATATATAATACTTCTACAGAATGTTAGGATAAACGCTTTGGCGTCATCAAAAGGTGTGTATGAGAGTGTAGTTTAGATATGGAATTAGTAGCAGGCTTTAGTCTAAAAATATGAATGGTGCGTTGAGATAAGTTTTTGGGAGTACCGGAACACATTTGCAGGTAAGCATCTGTAACGAGATTAGTAAATGGCCAGTAGGGGGCGAGTGTAAGCAGAGTATGCAAATACGAGGTAGCACGAGGGAGAGTTTTTTTACCTTTGTAATTTTCTTTGCAATTAGAGGTGGGGGGGGGGTGGTTTTGTGTGTTTAGAAATATATAAAAGATTTTTTTTCCGACCTTTATAAAATGGGGTGTCTTTGGGATCCATAGTCCTGTAAAATGAAGTGAATGTTTGGGTAATAGAGAAATTTTGTGATATAATTTGAATCTGTAATGTATATCGAGGTGAATGTTTTGGATAATTGGGTAGTCTGAAGTGGAATGATGCATTGGAGTTACCACTTACCAAATCCTCAATTGTGTTTGGTATAGATAATATATGACAAATGGAAGGTTAAATTGTTAGCTGAGAATGATTGATGTCATTATCATATATTTTTAATACTGAAGAATCCACTTCCTGGTAAAGCACTTTTGGTCTTGCAGACATCACTCTGCTGACCATTTCTACAATGTCTTGACCTTGGAAGACTATTGTGCAATTTCTGATTACACCGAAAGTGGTCTTTCTTTGTGAAAAGGAGATTGCTTGGGTGAAACAAGAATGAAGGAGAGTGAGTGACTGCATTAATGAAGTGAGAATAACTTTTTTAACCTATGATACAGCTGTTTTCGCTTAATCTATTATATTTGATAACTCCTTTTTGAGTCATAAGATGAATGAAAGCTGGAGGAGCACGTTTATATTTATCTCCCCAACTTTTTGTTCATTTGAGTTCTTTATTGATGAGAACAAACAGATTTATACTTTTCTTTTTATTGTTAATCAGACGTTTTAGAGAGCTTACCGGAGCTTGTGTATATCCGTCCCATTGGGTTTACCGCTTTCTTCATCTAGGGGGAGTTAAAGTACGACTGGAGTGGCTAGTTGCTTTCCCTAAAGTGGTTTGGCATCGCTCTCCATTTCAGGTATGTATTAAAACGGTAGCTTTTTGTCCAATTTTGCCAACAAGCTTGGATTTCAGGCCTTTGTTTCAGAAACTGCTCTTTATGCTGAACTTTTTCTACTACTATAACTCATAAAAGGGATAGAGAGCCTTTCGCCTATTTGTCCTCCTTTTCTCTTTTTTACTTCTGTAACTTCTTCATGTTGTGCTGCTTTGTTTCTATCACATGCCTTTCATTCATTCCTAGGTTGAGTAAACGATGTTGGATTGGGATCGGCAGCAATTGTCTGAATTACAAGTACTTTCCTTTACACATTGGTTTGAAGTGGCGAGTTTGCTTCTCTCCGCAGTGTATTGCCGTCTCCCTAGGTTAGGTTCGTTAAGGTTACGCCTAGGAGCATGAACTTCCGGTTTATTTTTATCTTTTCACCTGCACGATATGAGTCCGGGTAGCCCACCAAGTCTATAACTTTGCCTATTTTCCTTTTTGCCTGCAGTTGGAAGAATCGTCAAAAGCAGCTTAAGCTCCCTGGGTGAATTGAAGCTCACAACCAACTTAAGTTTAACTGATAGAAGCGGAGTAGGGGCCATAGGTTGGGCAATGGGTGTTAAATTGAGACTTTTTTCACTTAAGAAGGTTTTCTGGCGTACGCCAAAAGTAAAAAGAAAAAGGATAAAGCTTCCAGTAATGGTAGGGGTTAAAGATACAGAGTTTCTAGTTTTTTGAATAGAGGGTTTATATCTATTTCAAAAGAGTATATATTATAGACCCTTTTTGTTAGGATACATATAGCTGCGGCAGTCGATGCGCAGGTAGTGACATCTTTGGCTGCTAATTCAGATGAATCACATTCCTACCCGCTGGAGACATCGTGGGGAACGGAATGTGATAAGTTCATTCTCGCACGCTTGTGTAGATTTGATGTGAAAAATCGCGCTCAAGGGTGGATGCAGGGTAGTCCGGAACTCGCCGATGGATTGGGACGACGTATTGTCATGAGGGAGGGCAGAGCAGGATAGAAATGGAAGTCCAGGGTTCAGGTATCTAAATAATATCAGAAATGTTTCAAATCTGAACTTCAGAGTTATGAGACGGCCTTGAAAATGTTCTCAGAAATTAGTAAAAACGCAAAGCAAATAAACTGGATAAGCTTCTTTGAAATTGGTTTGATGTGCTGAAAAACATTAGAATGCCAAATAAGACAGAATTCTGAATACCGAATGTTTATTGGACAGATGAACTCGTACACCTAAAGAATTTGAATACAAGTTAAGATGCATTATCTAGAAGAACCAGGGTAGAGAAAACGCCAGAGGTACGAGAGTGTAAATTGATGCCTTATACTGAAGCTACAACTTCAGAATTAAATCTGGTGAGGGGTATCAACGTGCAGTTGTCCGGATAGCCTATCCGGAGATAAGAATACAAGTATTGGAGACAGGAAAAAAAATAGCTATGCGCAATTGTTTTAAAGACACTTAAAAACATCACATGAAAAAGAAAAGGAAAGAAGAACAATAAACGGCAACTCGGCTGTCGAGGGAGACTACAGTTGGTTAAAGATTGCTAGGGAATCTTTCTAATTCCTTCTTTTGCCTATACAGTAGCTCGATGCTCTTTGGTCTCCTGAACAACTACAATTTTTCAAGACTATTTGCATCAATCTCTCCCATGGACTGAGGTCTGGACCAGCGAGAGATGCTACAACTGTCTTTCCTTGCTTTCTGTTGAAGGGTGTTGGAATCGATATGCACTTTATCCTCAGCCTTTTGCTGATGTAGTAGTTGGAGCTGCCGTCTGCAGGACCTATGGAAAAAGAAAAATGGTGAGGATGCAAGCCGAAAGGAAAAAAGAAAAGAAAGAAGGGTAAAAACCAATATCCGCATAGACAATCAATCTATTTAGGATAAAAGTCCAAAATATGAACTTGTATAAGTAAAGTAAATATGTATAAAAGAGAAAGAATTAAGAACATAATATTGGTTTGCTTATCACAGAGTTGATGTGCTAATGGGTCAAATGTGCATTAAATACACTATAGGAAAAAGGATAAAAGTCCAAAATATGAACTGTATAAGTAAATAAATATGTATAAAGAGAAGAATTAAACATAATATGTTTGCTTTCACAGTTGATTGCTAATGTCAAATGTGCATTAATACCTATGGAATAAAGAAAAATGGTGAGGAAGCAAGCCGAAGAAAAAAGAAAAGAAAGAAGGGTAAAAACAATATAGCATAGACAATCAACTATCAAGGATAAAAGTCCAAAATATGAACTGTATAAGTAAATAAATATGTATAAAGAGAAGAATTAAACATAATATGTTTGCTTTCACAGTTGATTGCTAATGTCAAATGTGCATTAATTTGCAACTCAACCCGATGTGGACACAATTAAGACGAATCTAACTCTAATTTAATTTCACCTGACATCGCATGTCTAATATTGCCAGCACTAGCTTCCAATTTGATCTGTAATTTAACATGCATGACCTTGGTATACACCTCGATCGCATATGAGACTTAGTAAAAAGCCAAGAAATAAGATTGGCAGCGTCATTCAGAATTTGAAATGACATAGAGAACTACATGCATGAGAAGTTTACAAATATATACATATATATTAAAACATGTAAGTTCATGGGATCATTGAATAGATGGTACCTCAATTTGGCGTTGGAGAAGCTTTTTCTGAGCTTCCAACTCAGAGTTCGGTATAGTGTCCAATCTCTCTCCATGAGTTGCATTTGCACCAGGAACCCGAAAGGGTACAAAGACATAGTTGGAAAATTGTGGCTGGGGCAAGTTTGATGGCCCAGCATGGATTGCAGAATGAGGATGTGATTGTCCCATGAAAGCTTGTTCTCCACTAGATTCCCTATTAGTACCATCAGCCAAAGGTCTTTGAGCTTGAGGGAGCAAGGCATATCCAGGAGACCTAGAAATTAATTTTAAAGATCAATTGTTTTTTCAAGATTTTTTGAAGTTCAATTTAAGAACAGGCCAAAAACATTCAACAGGGACACCTGGCCCATGTCATCTCAAATAAATATACACAAAGTTAGGAACAGAGGAAGCTGCAAATTTAAGCATAAATGCATCAAAATGTTTATCATATCAGGCCATGAAGTTGACCAAATACTATATACACTATTTAACTCAAAACACATCTCTTTCAGTGCTTTATGTGAAGTAGAAATAAAGGGGGAAAACTTGTAGAAATAAATATCCATTCCCCTTTAGAAGAATGCATTTCAAACTCTTTGAGATAGATTGTGGACTGGGAAACTAGGCCAAATGTTTAGTGCATCTGTATGACTGTATCATCAAGAGTATGCATCCACTGATAAACTGACCAAATACAGGGCCAGATAATGGCAAAAAAAGGGAAGCACAGCATGTGTGCTGTTAAAATAAAAATGTTCTGTCTTTTGCAGCATACAACCACATACCACACTAGTGTGTTTGGAGAAGGATAAACAAAAGATTTCTCATATACAGCGGCAGCAGCAGCAGCAGCTTGAAGCCTGGCCTGATGCTGGCTCAAATTGTCATCCTGCCCATTGCCAACTGAGCCCTGGGCTCCTGTACTTGCGGTGCCTGTTCCTGTTCCCAATTACAGCGAAACACTGAATGATTATAAAACCAACGAGGCATGCTAACTGAAACATCTCAAACCAGGAAATTAGAAAAAGCTGAAGGGGATAAAGAACTCAGAAAAAATTCCTATTGATTTTTCGCTTTAAATAGAATAATGATTCTATTGATATAAAATGATGCAAATGAAAAAGTTTCAACATCATGAGTCATCTTAATTGCTAGTTGGCATTTGGATGAAGCTAGTCAAAGAAGTCCATAGTCACAAGAGAATGCATCATGTGCAAGAGGAAAGATGGTCAACATGTTCAAGAAATCTGGTACGGAAACAAAATAAATCCTCAATAGTTGCTATTTTTATTATTTTTCAGTAAAACCCCATCAATTTGATCAAAGGAAATCATGTCATGCAGATATTATGTTGTTCAGCAATCTGACACTCTAATATATAAGTTATATAAGCAAATTGCCATATTTCTTTATTAGAAAATGTGGGGATTTCACAATTTTATCATCTTTACAAAAATGTGCATACAAAATCTAACCGATTTGATTTTTCACAGGACGAATACGTTTATCAGGAACAACAGAACCTGGTAATGGTACATTACCGTGCCTATGAGTATCTGACCGTGCTCCATGTTGCCCTCCAGCTGTACTCGCACCATTATCAGGGGGTACAACTAGGGCTCTGCATGTAGGACAAGTATGTTGTCGCTCCAACCATGAACGGAGACAGTGAACATGAAAAAGATGCCCACAGATTAATTTCTTGGCTGTAGTCATCTCTTCACGACAAATGATGCAGGTTGCATCACTTCTGCATATTTAAAGAAAATTATTAAGAATGCTGATCTAAATGAATAAGTGCTGAACTATGATTAACAAAAATGACGGACAACATAGGGATCTTACGCATTGAGCTCTTCAGGTGTTGCATCAGGAAACCGATCATTCATATTTGAAGTGATCTTCCGGTAACGAAGGTAATCAGCAACACGAATTTTGAAGTTCCTGAATGTCTCATAAAGCTCTCGTATTAAGTGCAAAGGTACACCATAATTCCTATGAAGACAAACGCAAATTCATTAGATAAAAATTAGAAGCTGAATGGGCAATAAATATGTGCAAAAACGATTAATTGAACTGCTATAGGATAGTGTGCAGAATTAGACAAAATTTCCGTAGTCAAGTACATAGAAAACAAGTAGAATTCTTAGCAACCTTGGTAACTTCATATAAGACCATTTTTTAACTTATCGCGCAAATTTTTTTAAAAAATAGATGACTTTTACCATTTGACCTCATGTATATCTGCATTTTTACAAATGGTGACCTATATGCATGATAAAGAGTCATAACACCTCAAAAGTTAAATAGGTCCTAAATATGACGCCCAAGAGAGTCTAATAATGATCCTAATGCTACTTCCTTTGGCCAAAAAAGAAAGGAAGAACCCAAGCATCCGGCCACACGTTATGTCTCCACTCTTTCTTATTCTCACATGATATCTATAAAAGAAATTATTTTATCACAAACTGAGTTTAAAACTGAGTCAATATATTCTCTATAGAACAGCCTCCAACAACAGAGTAAATTAAAACTCAAATCCTCTACCGCAGATTAATATTCACTAGTTCAACAATCAATCAAACATGTACAGAGCCCTTGATTGAGGTCAAGAGGATCAGCACCGTTGTTTTCCCTGGAAATCCATCCTACTAACTTGCAATACATCCCCACCCATAAGAAAGCACCATAAGCCAGATAGCAGCATTGGGATTCAAATATCAGCGAGAAGATATTAACAATGCAGTAAAATTCAACTTATCAATGCCAAAACAGAACTTTACAAGTCAATATCACATAGCATTATTCATGAATGCATGGCTCTTTGCCAGATCAAATAGATCTGCATCTGTTCATGCATTTTATCCGATTATATCTTTGTCAGACATGATAGGCTATAACAATTTTATGTATATTGTGAGTTGTAACAGTGTAGAACTAAGTTCAAACTTGAACTTACATGAAAATCACAAGGAAGAAGCAGAGATACATTGATAAGTGAAGCAAGTCGCGAATAAGTTCCAAATAAAAGGTATAGACAGCCTTCCTTTCCCATTGTCCTTCCATAAGCATGTCACTCACATAGAAAACATATTTTACAAAAGTGGAGACGGTAGTTGTTGCTAGTATCATATACCTAAGATACAAAATATTAAATATTAGAGCAATGACAAACATCAGATTGTCCAGAAGAAGGAACCCCAAAAATGAAACTATTATGTGAGACAACATGGGGGATTGATGGAGTTGCCTCGATGTTATTAAAGGAAAGTGTAAAGAAAACCTAATAATTTAAAACAAAAGGCCAGGTAAAATATGGCTCATAACTGTAGCAGATTGACATCAGAAAAACTCATGTTAACTCAATGTAAATGATAAGAAAAATAATAATACAAAAATTAAATAACTTACTCAAAGGAGAAGAAGAGAGAGACTGAAGCCTGACGTGTTTCTATCAAATACTTAACAGAACTGTACAAGAACAGACTATCCAGAAGAAGAAGGAACCCCAGAAATGAAACTATCCGTATGTGAGACAGCATGGGAACTGATGGAGTTGTCTCAATGTACTCAACCCTCTTTTGAGCTAACCAATGTAATGCCTTGATTAATAATAAAGCTGTAACCATTGTAAGAAATGTCACTGAGAAGTCCTGCCTGAAAATAGTGATGGCAAAGAGGATTTCCATAACCTCTCTCCATGATTGCTCATTCAACCTTTCAACCTCAGCTTCCCGTAGGGAACCAAGGAATAGCCGTTTAGTTAATTGCCATAAAATGCACATAATGACTAGACCCATGTTAAGAAGAAGCACCAAATTGATCTTAGAGGTTGATAAATAAACCATAGCTGGATAAAACTGGCCTCTACTGTTGAATGCATGATATATAACTGCCAAAGTTGCAAATAAACTTAGGCTCGCATATGTGCGCAGTCGCATCATTTTCTCTGAGTCTGCTGTTGCACCAAATCAGTCATCAATGGATATAAACATAAAGAAATGCTTTTTTAATGAATATTATCAGACTTAAAAAGGTTCAGCACATTTAGTTAATAGAAGCCGATACAAGATGAACCTACTGTTCCTTTTATCTGAGAAAACCTGAGAAAATTCAAATTGGGTAAGAAAAAGATGATTCTCTCTCGGATGAAAGGTATAATACTTCCCCCCAATTTCTCAAACGGCAGACAATTCCAAACTCAAATAAACCAACAAATTGGGAGGGAGTCAAAAATTAAAATAAATAATAAAGCATAACAAAAACTATCATTTCAAAATAATTCAATAGCAATCAAGCATTTCAGATTATAGTATCATCTGAATAAAAACATGTATTCCATTTTTGAGCAATCAAAAGAAGTCATTTACAAAAAACATATTCAATACACATCCAATTACAAGAATATTAAAATCAGCCCTAACATAACCTGAAAAACCTTCAAATCAAGTGAATAAAAGCTTCATAATCAAAAAAATAAAACCTTATAGAGACATTAACAATACCTGGAAGAATTTCCCTATTCCTTCACAATGTTTCGATCCCTATCTGTGTTTCCTTTTAAAAAATAGATTAAAGTGGACTTCTGATACGTACGTAATTCTCTACTCTGTAGTCGGCATATGAGTTTCGCGTCAGTGCTACCAATAAAAATCAACCACGTGTACAAGTACTGGACCCGATTTGGATCGGAGCTGTGTTCCGGGTCCCGTTAAAAACGAAATCAAAATGCCCTAAAGTCATTCGGGTAGAAAATAGGTCTTGTATTCGGGTTCAACCGAAATTAAAATCGGCTATGCCATTTTGGTAGAAAATGGATTTGAACTAATACAAAACGTTGTAAGCGGTTTTCCTTATATGCCTTACTCATTATAATTTATCGTACACCTATATTATTGATTGAGATAAAAAGAAAATAAATTTATTTATTTTATCTTTTCAGATAAATAATTTATCAGAAATGGCAAAAAATTAACTTATTACAAAAGTTAAAATTTCTTTTTAAGTGTGTAACTTTTTTTTTATTAGAAGATAAAAATATCCCACATAATGTTTAAAATATTGGGCTGTATACTTCTGGAAGAAGTGGATATAATTTAATTTTATATTTTATCATAATTGAAGATGATGTACTTTAATATTATATTTTGTAGTGAGTTATTTAAGTTATTACTTTTAACTTTACATAATTAATTTATATAACATTCATCATTAAAATTAAATTTATATTATATATGAATAATATATATTTATATTATTTACAATCACATTATGCTAATACTTAAATAATAAGTTAAATTTATATATTTGGCTTTAACCTAAGTGATATAATATAATTTTTATTAATAAAAATATAAAAGGTCAACTATGTAAAATTATATTTATTCAAGTTATTAAGACATTTAATTTATCAAACAATCTTAATAGCAATAAGCTCTCAGTATTGCTCCATAAATCATTCATTTTTTTTTACATCAAATAATATACACATAATTAATTAATAATAGTATCAAGAATGCAAATGATCATATGAATCAGATATAAAAATAATTCATATTCTCTTGAATAATAAAATTAAAATTTAAAAATATAATATTAAATATTTCCGTTTAGAGTTGATCTTGATAAGAAATATAAATTTTTATTACAGAAACTAGTCCATATTTTGATAACAAAAGCAATTAGTTCAATCCGTATTTGGATAACAAAAGCAATTAGTCCTTTTGAATCTTCTATATTTGGATGCTTTTCTAAGGATTTACAATATATGATGAACACATATGAGTTTTCACCGTTGCGCATTACACATACCATATTATCCGGTTCTATTGATCGAATATCTACACCTGCTAATCAATAAAATTACACTCTCACAAATAAGAGAAAAAAAAAAAAAACTCTAAATACAGAGACAAATAACAATAATAATAAAAAAATGTTGTAAAAAATAGTAGAAGATAGAGGCCGCCACTAGCCCCAAATTGAAATTAGGGTTTAATGAGTAAAGAAAAAAGAGAGAAAGGAGAATAAATTCACATTTTTTTTTTTTTTGAATATTGGAGGAAAAAGATTCAAATCTAGATTTGTTGACAAGTCATACATGTATTTACCAATGAACTATGTCTTGATATGCAATTCACATTATTTATATTTTATACATTCATAAATCTTTTAGTTCAATAACCTATTAATTCAGATTGGGGGTAAGACCAAACAAATGACCCTTTATATATTTTCAGTGTAAAATTATCTCACATGCTTCTACAAAATCACACGTGCGATGCATGTGCCAACTTTCGCAATGAGAAATAAAAGAAAAAAAAAAGGCCTAAAATAAGAAAAGAATAAACAGAGAGAAGAACGGAGTGAGAGCGATGGTATCAACGGTGGTGAAGGGAGCCTTGAAGGCCATCAGAGAGAAAGGGCTAGGCACCTTCCTACGAGAGCTCAGGGAAGAAGGCTACACGTCAGTCGTTCATTTCCTTTTATCTTCTTCTTCCTTTCTTCTCTTATTTTTGTTTATATGTTTATTTTAAAAAATTTTCAATTGATTCATCTCAACCCGATGAGTGTAGAATCAAAAGGAATTTAGAAACGCTACATTGCGAATCTATTATTGATTTTTGGTGTTAATGGGTATGCCAGAGATGTCATTTTTGCTCAGTTTTGACCCGAATATGAGCAAAGATATTAATTTCAGTAGTTTTCTTTTTTAATTAAATTAAATCCCAAAGTGGTGAAAGTAGTAATTTTTTTTGTAAGGTTGGTTTCTGGTTTTTCTTTTGTTAGCTGGGAATACACTGAATTCAGAAGAAATAATTTAAACGAGAAATGAACTGAACCTGAGTAACTCAGAAAAAATGGGGAAGAAAAGGGAAACCTTTTTTGTGGGTGATGGTGCTGCTAGAAAAATATGAACTTAATTGTTTTCCAGAAATAATGCAATTAAAATATGGACTAGGTTCATGAAATTTGGGAACCTGAATGAATTTGAGATTGGAAAACTTAGGTTTTTTGGGCTGTTTGCAAGTGGGGAAAAATCTGAAATTTTCACTGGTTTGTGTCTCATAATAAGTAGTAAGCTCTAACAAATGGAGGGTTGTGTATAAATATGGATACCTGAGCGGGATGCATAAATAGGCACTCCTTTGTGAATTAATTTCCACCAGTAAAAATTAAAAAATATTGAAGCAGACAGTGGATTAAACTTCGAGTTTTTCTTGAATGCTTCCTTTTCATTAACAATCGTATTTCTTCTTTTTCTTACCGATGCATTCATTTATTTTTTCTATTATTTTATTTTTTTTTATGAATTTTACAGACTTCTTTACTCATTTTGCTTCCTTCTGTTTTGCTGAATTTTTTTCAGGAAGTGCCTTTTGGATGGAAATTTGTTGTAAGTTAAAATTTCTTTACTGATTCTTGTTAAAGGTTTTCTGATTGGAGACTTGTAAATGAGAGTGCTTGTGTTTCTTGATTCAATGGATTTGTGCCCTTTCATTTATAAGGTCTGGAAGCTATGCCTTTGATGTTTTTGTTGGTCATTTTGGAATTATAAAACAGTGTTCTTACTAAATAGGCTTATCTATATGTTCTCTTACAGAATACCATTTGAATTTGGTAATTTCTTTCATGTTTTTTTTTTTGTTTTTCTATTTTAATACTTCAGACATATGAAGTCTGAGCTGGCGTTCTGTTTTGTATATTTTTTGTTGGTTTAGTTTATTTTCTTGACTTCAGATATATTATTTGGATTTTTGTCAGCCTTTAACTTTTAAGCCAACATCTTTCTTCTCGTGCTTTTCTTAGATTTAGGTGAATTCTCGTAAGTTTCTCTAATTAAAATTTATTTAATTGATTTAGGCAAACCAAAATCCACAACATAGGGGCCACACTCGTGGGGGTTGACAAGTTTGGCAATAAGTATTATGAGAGACTTGAAGACACGCAGTTTGGTTAGTACTTTTTTACCCCCTCGTTTTCATGTGATATATTCTTCCTAATTGCACTATCGGTAGCTATTGGCAATGATGAAAATGCGTTTTTCTTTCCTGTATAATTGTGGCTGTTGCTGCTTTTCGCATTGAGGTTGGCTCCTACGTGTGTAATTTATAAGTGGCCTTTTTTTGGTTCATGACACTGCCACGTTTCTACTTCATTTCTTCAATGATCTACTGACACAAGATCAAATGCAAGGAGAAGACCCATGTCTGACACATTAGTAATATGTTGTGTTGAATTTATGTATGTTAGGAGGAATCTTTCATCTCTACTTCTCATGAGCAATAATTTGGATTTTCCTCTTAGTATCCATGTTATTTGAGACCATACATTGCATGTGAGTGGTGTCGTTTGCATGATCAAAATTACTGTGAAAAAAAAATTTGAAGCTTGAGGTGTTATACTGCTAGAACTGCACTCCCCCTCCCCAAAGAAGTTATAAGGAATCTACCTCCATTTCTTGAGCTGGATTAGAAGATTAGTTAATGCATTTCTTTGTTACTTTCTTTCTGCATGAGCAAGCCTAGCTACTCTGGATCAGCAGCATACCATCTCATATAGAGGAAAGTACCCTGTTCCCCGCTTATTGAACGGTCCTGCTCTGCTCTGCTCAAAAAGTCTGTTTGTCACTGTCCCTACCAAAATACTTAAGAGAAATTTTCATACAAAGTTGCTCCTCTCCCCCTGGCAGTCATTTCTGACAAAGCATAAAATTAAGGCATTTTTAAGTCGAGTTTGGAAAATGTTTAGTACTTTGGCTAAGAACTTATCTTCCTCTGAGCTATAAATTCTATCCTTACCCTACAGTTTCTGTCAATCTTTTCTTTGCACCCATTATAAAACCGTTAAATTCTTAGTACCAGAAATGAATTAAACTGAAAAATCCTAACAGTTCCTAAGGATTTTTTTAAATGAAAAAAGTAGTGTTATTTTCATTAATCAATGAAGTAAATTGGTAGATTGCATAACAAAATCAGTTATAGTTGCATATCTTGGACATTAACACTTCCCCCCTCTTGTCAAGGATTTTTTGATTAACCACAGATCTTCAAATAACTGTGATGTGTTTTCTTTTCCAGTTTGAACTGAAAGCATTGGTACAGATAAACTCATTCCCAATACTTGTTGATTTCATGAGATATGCAATGCTATGACTTGTATTGATAAACCAATAAGAACATGTCTCCAGTCACAGGATTCATTAGGTATTTTAAACATGATTGGTATTCGTTTTTATTTATCATCATATGCATGTATGGAGAGCTATGACAATCGTTGAGTGTTGAATTAAAAATGTAAAATGCCCTTAGTGTCTATTTGTGAAGTATCAGAAAAATGTCTTGATTAATGTTTTTATCACCTATAATTAATGCTTGGTGTGTTTTAACTCCTTTTGACTTGATGTGGTGTTTTGTAGGAAGACATCGATGGGTTGAATATGCTTTAAAGGATCGGTATAATGCTTCTCAAGTGCCACCAGAATGGCATGGCTGGCTTCATTTCATAACTGATCACACTGGTGATGAGGTAAGCTACAATTTACTTTAATGAAAATATAATTGGAAGGTTCATACTGAATGATGATGTCATCATATTTGTTGCAGCTTCTAATGCTGAAACCTAGGAGGTATGGGGTTGAGCACCGGGAGAATCTCTCTGGAGAAGGTGAGCAGTTCATATACCATTCAAAAGGCCATGCCCTTAATCCCGGTCAGAAGGACTGGACCAGATACCAACCTTGGCAGCCAGCCAAGCCAGAGTAACCCTTTGGGTCCACCAAACTTCCCGTAAACTTGGAAATTATTGCTTTGAAACCCGATTTCCATGAATAAGTTGTGTGTGCTTATTGGAAGCCATAAGAGTTTGCATTTGCTTTCATTAAGAAAACTTTGAATGTGAACTTCATAATCCAATTTTACAAGGCAAGCTAATAGATGTTTCAGCAGCAGTCTTCGATGGTTTGTCTTGTATTGCAAAAAGATACTGGTTTTATTTGCTAGAATACTAGTTACATTATTGTTCTTTCTTTACTTGGGTATTTGGAGGCCCTGGTCCTGGTCCATGTGGTGGAATTGAAATGTAGAGAAATGCCTTCTATATTAAACTTCCGTTTGAATTTGCATCACCAAAGTAAATAGAACAACTACCAAAGCAAAATGAAAGATCTAGGAGATGGATTAATATTGAGTTGACTTGCAGTTAACAATGTTGTTTGTTAAGCATCTCTTGTGACCGGACAAGCCGAGTTTACTGTTGGAGGCTTTTTTTTTTTTTTTCTTTTTTCATTGAGAACCCCCTGGAAGTTTTTGTTGTCTGAATTTGGGTCGTGTATAAAGTTATTTCTACTTGGTCCAACCATGGCCAAGAAAGTACTAGTAGTAGCACAGGCAATGGATAATGAAATTGAAAGGACTAGCAAACGAGTGAACGGGCAGAAGACAAGTATGGGATTTGTAATTCTTAGACGCAGCTTTTATTCTAGTAGCATCCAGGCTTTATAATTTAATACAAGTAGTCACATATTCTTAGCGAGGACTTAAACATTTTAATGTTTCAATAAAACGGTTATTACAGTATTTCGTTAAATAAATTTGCAATTGAATATTTGTTGCCGAACATTTTACTGGAATCTTGTTTTAAAAAATCCTCATGTCCTACAAATCATATAAAGTCAACTCTACCTATTACAGGCTGACGAGGCACATGTGACTTTCCTTTCTATATTGAGGTGGCTATCAAAACGACACAAAATTTCAACTTTCTTCCGTCAACCCGTCTGTCGTTGCAGCTGTTTTTTCTCTATTAAAATGGGGGTAACTAGTAAGCTCGCGATCTAGCTTTTTCCCGTGTCCAAAGTGACGAAAAGCTTTCAAAAATAGATCTCTTTGTCTCTGCCTCTCTCTCACATTGTCTTGCCCATTTATTTACTTCATTTTCACTCTCAACAAACTAACCAAGTGAGTAACTAACGTCCTTCCTTCCCTTGCTCGCCTTTCTTTAAAGTCTAACCTTCCAGTCTTTATTAATTGTCTGTAAATACCTAAAAAAGTAACAAGTAACAATCAACTGTCGTCATCATCTTTTTTCTCTTTTATTTATCACACCTTCTTTCTTTCAGTTGAAATCTTAAAGCCCTGGTTTTTGGTTTTGAATATTAGATTAATTGGTAGAAGAACAAGTAAAGAACTAGTTCTATTCTATTTGAATTACTCATTGTGAAATTATTCTTTTTTGCTTACATTTCTTTGTGTGTTTCTTAGGTGGGAAATATGGCGACTGATCCTGAGCAGTCCTCTCTTTCTTCCTTTGGAAAGGTTTTTAATTTTTTTCCGATTCTTAATTTGTTTGATTGGGTTAGGAGAGAGGACCAAAGGGATCGAGAGAGAGCATCTATATTGATCTTCTTCGTTGTTAAGAAAATTTTAGCGAATTAAATAAATTTTAAATGCGGGATTTTCAATCTCGGTAGTCTGAAGAAACAAAATTGTTGCATTAATTCAAATATCTACGGTTTCTGATTATGTAGAATGAAAACAAGAGAATGACTTCTTTACAAAATGTTTCTGCATTTCTTTCTGTGCAAATAAACAGAAAGTTCTTTTTTTTTAATCATTAATTCTGTCATGTTGGGTATATTGTTAAATGCATCAATTTTTACTAGGTAGGGAAGTCTTCTGGTGAAATTGATGGTGTTGAGGAGCCTCTGCTTAATGGGGAAAATAGCTCTGAGAACTATTCTATTGCTGCTGCAATTCTCCCGTGAGTTTTTACTTTTATTATATTTCTGGTTGGTTTTTGTATTCCAAATTATTTTCATTTTTGAAGGAATATATGTCTATATGTTCGCTAGGACATGTTGTCAAAGATGATCGGTTACCATTGTTGGGATATCTGATGACTGGTTATCCATGTCTGTTTCATTTTTGCTACACTTGAACATGAACTATGTAAAGGTTTCGTAAATGAGGAAAATTTTGGCTGTAGAATTAAGTAGTCGTTTATTCTTCATTTTATTAGTTTGAGTTGATTGAGTTTTATTATCAATTTTGAATTTGAAGTATCTTGAATTAAAGTAAGTAGAGGGTAAGTTCGTCTGTTCTCAAAACACGAGATTTTAGAGTCAATACAAGTGAATTATGCTAAAGTTTATGCATCTTTTGTATAAAGAAATGAATTAATGCATTCTAACCTTGCCAGCCTATTATGTTCTAAATACTTCTTCTAAGTTCAGGTTCATTTCACTGTGTTTTGATACTATTTTTCGTTCCTTTACTAATTGTCACGCACATCTTTGCCAAGTAAAGTTGCTTCTTCACGCTTCCTAATTTGTTAAAAATTCTTGTTGACGTTTAAGAAGTTTATTTTATTTCAGATTTCTATTTCCAGCTCTTGGAGGACTATTATATGGTTATGATATTGGTTCCACATCTTGTGCTACAATAAATATAGAGGTGTGCTTTTGATGCAGTTATGGACTGTAGACGGATTATTAGAATTTGCTTACACTTATTATTTTTCTTTCTGTTAGGACTTCTTCTATATGCCTATTCAGTATGATTTGTGGTCTCAAGTAGCAATAAATGTGTCCTTTAGAATTTTTCCCTATTGAGCAGTGCAACATCATCACCTACAAGAAATTTTGCTTAATGCTTGATCTGATGACAAATACTTTAGCGGGCTTGTTGCTTAAACTCTTGCAGAAATGAGACATTAATAATAGATTAAAGCTAATAATATTTTGATCTAGCGCTCATGCTTCTAAATGTTTAAATTCTTTGCAAAATTTTCAAATAACCTAAATACTAAATAGAGATAGGTACTTACATGGAGGACAGATTAACAACTTTTCACATTTTTCTGCCTGCCTGCCTGCATGCGCGTGTGAGAGAGTGAATTTTTGTGCAAGCATGCATGCAAAAATTGTAGATCATTTACGCCTATAGTTGAAATTGTAATTCTTCTATTACCTGAGCTTATTAATCTTTTCTCTTCTCCTGCAGTCATCCACATTTAGCGGAATTTCATGGTATAACTTGAACTCTGTGGAAATTGGGCTCATTGTGAGTTTCTAGTGACAATTGCTTCTTTTAACTGTTCTCTCATAATTCATGAGTGGCACCTTTCTTTATATCTCTTCCTTCCTCTATTTCCACATTGATTTGACTTATTATTTGCACTACAAGGGAAAAGCCTATTATCAACATAAATTGCTTAAATGCTCCATTAGTTTAAGTCAGATGCTTGTTCTTTTTGAACTTAGTGACTGTTATCTTTTGCAGACCAGTGGCTCGTTATATGGCGCCTTGATTGGTTCTGTCTTGGCCTTTAATATTGCTGATTTTCTAGGTTAGTTATTGTACGTTTTAAGTTACAAAGGTAAAGATTATTGTAAATGTCCTTTTCTTGATGAAGTTGAAATGATGAATCTGAATTGAAGGAAGAAGAAGGGAGTTGATTGTTGCTGCTTTATTATATCTTGTTGGAGCACTTGCTACAGCACTAGCACCAGATTTGGTTATCATGGTGATTGGGCGTTTTGTATTTGGAATTGGAATAGGATTGGTAAAACATCTATTTCTGTTATATAATATGCCCTGAAATTTTATGCATGATTATTCATATTCCTGTAACTTCTGTTTCCCCATGCATACTGTAGAGCAAGAAAACTGTGCTTGCTGCTTTTTTTTTAAAAAAAGATGATTTAAAGTGCCAACTCATTCATTGGTTTTGATAATTTGCAGTTTATTGTGTGCACTTGTTTATCTTTATGTGGAGTATTAAATGCTAGTTTACTATTTTTAGGCAATGCATGCTGCACCTATGTACATTGCTGAGACAGCTCCGAGTCAGATACGTGGTCGACTAATCTCTCTCAAAGAGTTCTTTATTGTCCTTGGGATGGTTGTAAGTTCTGCATTTATGTCTGAGGACTTTGAGTAATTCTAGGCTTTACATGCTATGGTGCTCAGTAGTTATTGATTTTTATAATGCTTGCAAAAACTGAATATTTAAAGTTGTGCAGGCAGGTTATGTAATTGGTAGTCTTCTGGTTGATACCATAGATGGTTGGCGTTATATGTATGTAGCAAGTACTCCTCTGGCATTGATAATGGGAGTTGGGATGTGCTGGCTACCATCATCACCTAGATGGCTACTATTATGCGCCATACAGGGGAAAGGCAATATGCAAGATTTAAAAGAAACTGCAATATTTTGCTTGTGCCGACTCAGGGGGGAAGCTATAGGTGACACTGCACCTGCCCAAGTAGAAGAGATTCTTACTGAACTAAGTTTTGTTGGTGAAGAAAAAGAAGCTTCATTGGGGGAAATGTTTCGAGGAAAATGCTTGAAAGCACTTATCATTGGTGCAGGATTAGTTCTTTTTCAACAGGTATCTTTATTATCAGAAATGATATGATGTAAAACGCAAAGTTTTGAACACTTCTCCTTGTGAACGATCTACTTTTATGACAGATAACAGGACAACCTAGTGTACTCTATTATGCCGCATCAATCTTTCAGGTATTCATTTACTTAAAAATAGGTTACTAGATGGTTAACAATATAATAGTGTCTGTTCTAAGTCTTCACACGAACCCAATATGGTTTGGCAGAGTGCAGGGTTTTCTGCAGCATCTGATGCAACTCGGGTTTCAATTCTACTTGGCTTATTGAAGGTAGATTCATCTATTTAATTCTTGAACTCATAATAACTGTATGCTATCTGATATCTGAAATTGGTGGGAAGAGTTACTTTTTTTTTTGGTCATTTAACATACATTGTAAATTACAGATCCTAGAGGATTGTTGTCGTTGTCGTTGTTGTTAACATTATTTCTATTTTGAACTTGGTGATATATAATTCTATATAAACATATGTAATTAAGGTGCTATATAAGTAACAAGTCTAGGTATCAAAATTGCAAAGTTACATGCTGCTGCTCTTGGTGCTATTAATTCATTTCCATGTTTGTGGCTTATCTGAGTATTATTGCTTGTCACGTGCCTTTGCTTGTGCTTGCCATGCATAAAGAGGACATAAACTTATGGTGTGTGCCTTTGCTTTCATGGAGTTTTCGGTAGAATATGCTGTAAATCTGAATTTCCATTTTTTTTTTTCTTTTTTGTTCTATCAATTAAGTTACGCACAGTCTCTATTAGTCTATTTTTTCCTTTTTGAATAGATGACCATGTAATTATCATTTCATTATGCTGACTTATTATGTTGTTCTTTTTCTTATACGTTATACATAAACTGTTTTCAATCAAAAACCACTAAATATCTCTTCTGGAGATCTCTAACTTGGACTGTCCTATTCGTAGTTGATTATGACTGGAATAGCCGTTCTTGTTGTTGATAGACTTGGAAGGAGACCTTTACTGCTTGGTGGTGTTTCTGGAATGGTAACTCTTCTCTCTTTATTTTTTTCTCTTCACCATCCTCTTGCATAATGGTTATTTCATGAATTTATTAGTGTGTGTGAAGTCAGTAGCTCTGTCTTTACAATTCGGCGGTCATTCTGTTTGATCGAATTATAGTTTGCTTGACTTTAGCTTTATTTTTCTGAATGAAGAAGAGTGAAGAAAGGATAGGCATCTAATTTATGAACTAAAGTGAGTCACGAGGAATTCCTAAGAACTATGCTTTATTTTGGGAACAGGTCATCTCTTTATTCCTTCTGGGGTCATATTATCTTTTCCTGGATAATGCTCCTTTTGTGGCTGTTGCTGCACTGCTGTTGTATGTTGGATGTTATCAGGTAATCAAAGATTTTCATGTCATTTCTCAACTAAATTCTCATCCCTGAATTTTGTGGTTCAATGTGTACTTGTGTCCTTCAGTCAGGATTAGGATTAGATTTAAGGTTACTTGTGTGCAGGACACTGTTTAGCATATATAGGTATATATGACAGCTAATGAAATTCCCAGTATGGGAAGGGCTTACTGCATAATCATACAGAATTCTAGTGATCAGCCTTTCTTAAGCAGGTCCTGGGAACTTATTGACAAATCATTGATATCAGTAAGCTTGTAGCTCATCAATATCTAACTTTTTAAATCAAATTCAAATCTCTTTGAAGTTTCTGCTTAGTCAATTTCTTTATTGCTGTTAGAATTCTGCAAGAAAGCAGGCTGAAGATACCTTCACCATTCGTATCATATCATGTTAAGTCTTTTTTATTGGAATTATATTTCCTAAAATTTACACAACAGTTGGGAAATGTGTTAGGCATCTTCTAATGCATTTGGTGATTCTCTGATACCTAAACCTGTAATAACAAAACCACAATACCACATAGAGGTACTAGCTATTAATGGGATATTAATGTATGCCAATTACTGTCTGGACAGACTCTGAATAGAGGAGGTGGGTGAGATAAAGAGAGGACAACTAATTTGTCTCTCTTTCTTGTGCATTGTTACGTCTTTTTACTCCATCAAAGCATTTATGTTCACATAAGTTTGTCTTTCCTAGAATACTTGATGGATAAGAAGCCTATTTTGTTTTTCGAGAACTTCTTTGTGGGAAAATCAATTTTCTGTGGATGGCAAAAGAATGGGTAGAATTTATACCGTCTGATGATTCATTGCATTGATTATTTCTATAATTAGTGTATGAGATGATTTACTTTTTTGTTCAATTAAAAAATTTACGCATTTTTTTCTCTCATCGGTTACAGAACTTGTTTCTATAGCTTCTGTTTTTGCAATCTGTGATGGTATGCTAATGAAATCAATTTTGCAGTTATCATTTGGTCCTATTGGTTGGTTGATGATTTCAGAAGTTTTCCCCCTACGCCTAAGAGGGAGAGGACTTAGTATAGCAGTGCTTGTGAATTTTGGTGCAAATGCACTCGTCACATTTGCATTTTCCCCATTGAAGGTAATTAGATAGCCTATTTATATATCCAGTAAATTCATGCTTATATACATGTCATCCTCAGTAAGACAGTAATGAAAATAATAGACAAAAACTACCACTCTCTCACTTTCTTTAAGTTATTCGAATGCTTGAATTTCATTATCGTTAAGTCATGACAGTCCTAGCTTTAATTAGAAATTCTACCACATTCCATGGTAGGAATAAATGTGATCCTTAAATAAGGATAATATTGAGGATGCATGCTTAAAAAAAATGCTTGAATTACTGGAAGTACTAGCCATTTGGGAAGGTAGGAGTTATAGTTTTCATGCTTGTTCTGGACTATAACATGGCAACCATTTGTCAGATATTTTTTAGTTTGGTTATTGGCATTGCCATTAAGAATGTGATTATGACCAAGTATCTAAAAGATTTAGCTGGTTTGGCCAGTTAATGGTTTTCATTAGCTAACTAAATAGGACTGGTGAAGGTTTCATATTTTACTTAAATTAGCTAGGACAGAACTCTGCAAGCATGAGTTGATGATAAATGGATTTCAATTTCTGCAAGTTTGAGTTGATGATAAACAGAGTATATTTGTTTTGAATAGGGGTTTCTGAGGATTTGGCGCATCTTCAGTTTTCAAATTGTTTGAAGGCTTATTTGTTTGAACTTTCTTCTGAACCATGAGTCTTTGTATCCAACTTATGTTTGAAGTTTAGGGTGCAGGTTCAATGTATATTGCCTGCTCTCCTGAATCTTGTCTTGTTTCAGCCCATTAAAGCTTCTGCAGTTTGGAAAAGGTTTATAATGAGTGAAACTGTTGGTGTTTACTGAAATAAAAAGAAAAACTAATACAAGGTTTTCTGTTTTACGGGTTCTTGATCATTGAAGTACTGTTTTTTCTTTTTCAAGGAACTCAAGAATTACGTAGTCGAGCATATCGGACAGTTCTGTCATGATGCTCTTATTTGTCTACTCTTCCTGTCATATTTTCTGCAAATGGAGTTGCTTAATGTTTGAGTTTCTTCATTTCCTCTCTGCTTCTAATCATTTGGAAGAAGAATATTGATATTTCTGTTTCTTTTATTGCAGTTTTATTCATCATGAAAATCACATTAGTTCATTGAAATGAATTTTCTATATCAAATTTCTATGAATACTGATACTAGAAACGGAATTTTTCGATTTGGCTGCAGGCATGGTTGGGCGCTGGAATATTATTCTATGCATTTGGAGTAATCGGAATTCTGTCTCTTCTTTTCATATTCTTCATTGTGCCGGAGACAAAGGGACTCACTCTCGAGGAAATTGAGGCCAAATGCTTGTAGTTAGTTATAGACAACATTACAGGAAGAGTAAATAGAGATGAAACCCGAGTCGTTCTGTTCCGACCATCGCATTGCATATAGATCCTCAGGCAGAAGAAGCATACTAATTGTACTGTAGGCTGTGCAACAAAAAAGCATTTGATATGATCTTTATTTTTGCCTATTTACTCTTATGTATATATTTTCAAATTTATGTTTCTGTTGTTTATTTAGCTTATCTCATCTTGTAAGATGTAGGATTAAATGTTTTTTTATTTTCTTAATTCTACTAATAAGTTGGTTGCAATAATTTCAATGTTTTTGTCTAACCGTCTTTTCTTTTCGCCATTTGCAGCTTGGCAACAATTTCATTTTGCAATTTTGCAAGTCCTATTATTATATTAAACCTACATTTTTAATTACTTTCTCGTGATCGTGTTCGGTAACATCTTTTTAAATAGCTAATACTAAGCGTTATTTTTATATGTCCGGTAATATAATATTTGAATTAATTTTTAAAAGCACGTTTAACTTTTAGAGTTTTATGAAAAATTAATAAAAGAGCTGCGAACTACTAAAATAGTTTATGTATGATATGCTAAACAAGCCCAATTGTTATTGCTAAAAAACCAGTCCATTAAAAGGCAAGTGAATAATGGGTCCTTCCCAGACGAGGCCCACAAATGCAAGCCCAAAGTTGTAATCTGGAAATGTATAAAGACAATTGCAAGAATTAGGGTTTAGGTAGAGAGAAAGAAGGATAGAGATGGCGAAATTCAATGTGGTGCAAAAAAGGAGAAGAGAACAAGTAGCATATAGAAAGAGAGCAATACACGGAGACCCAGTTACAGGGAAGCTCAAGAACAAACCTCAGCCCCTCTCTCTCTCTGGAAAGCGCAAGCGCAAGCTATTGAAGAAATGGCGTAGAGTATGTCCCTCTTCACATCTCATCTGTAAATACCCAATTTAACAAGTTTCGTCTCTATGCTAGCTATGGAGATAATAAAAATACAGAGCGCCGTTTAATGATTTATTCGTGGCTAATTTTGTACAGGATCAGAAGGAGGCTATAGAGAAAGGTCTGGTCACCATGGAAGATGTGGAGATGGCTGCTGCTGAAGGTTTTTCTATTCTTTTGATGCAATTTCAATCTGGTTAATGAATTTAATAATTTCTATGAAGAAGGACTAGATTAGAGAGTGTACTTCTAGTAAATGTTCTAATTATAATTGCAGATTAGTTTGCTTGATATTGGTATGTGATAGTAGAGAGGGTATTCCTTTGCTGTTGCCTTTAGTATACCATATTAAGTGTGGATATTTAATAATAGGCATATTTTAAGGTTCGGATTTCCTACAGTTTGAATTGTTTGATAACCAGTATATTGAGCTGCTGGCTCATTTTTTCCTTTTGAGAGCAATGCATTTTCTTGTTTTAGAGGTTTAGTACCAAAGGTGGTTTAGTTTGGTTTCCTCTTCTAAATTTAGGCTATGGTGGAAAATTGGAGCAAAAATTGTGCTTGTTGGTGCAGGAAGTAACATTATGCTTTTGTTTTCATATTTTAAATCTATTTGTGGGGGAGGTGGAGAATTGTGTGCTTTTGGAGTAGAGAGGTTTTTCATACTCATACAAGTCAAAATGAACAGCTAAATACAGTTCTTTTGGGTAGAGAGTATGCATATCATGGGTTGAAAAATTTATGCTCTTCAATTTTGGTTGTATAGTATTTTCATGCTTTGTGGAGCTCCCTTGTGCTTTAATAACAAATTCTTGAGACTGGAGTTGGGTTGTATGCTATGAATCAAGTTTGCGGTGTAAAAAAACTGTTAAGCAATCACCACAATCTAATGGCTTTCGGTTGAATCTATGGTCTACCTCTGTTGCTAGCATCTTGATGAAACGCTTGTGCAACTTAATTTATTAGGTGAAGGTATATCCGAGAATGCCAACAAAACACCAGCCAGATTTAACGTGAAGAAGGGTTTGAAACTCAAACAGTTGAAGAGTAATGGTAAATTTTCCATTTTTGTGTCAGGCTGCATCCTACCAAGTCATTTTCAATTTTGCACTTGTCTTTTTCTTTTCCTTATGCCTCTACTGATGCTAGCATGTCTATCCATACACAGGTAAGAAAAAAGGGAAATCTAAGCCGGTCGCTGAAGCTCCAGAAGATGTAATGGTAGAATGATTAGTAGACATAATATTGCCAAACCAGTAACTTTTCTTAGAGGATATGAGTGTAGAAAATCTGCCCCAGGACATGGAATTGTAACTTCAGATTTCATTTCACTTGTAACAATGAAGTCCTTTCTCTTGGTTTGTTCTTTTCATGTATGAAAGGAAAAATGGAATCTGAAATGCAGAAAAAGAATGAATACTGATTTTCTATTCTGCACTCGATGTTTCTTTCTTTCTTTTTCTTTTTCTTTTTCTTTTTTGCTTTTTTACCAAGAGAAATATATAAATATAAATTCATTTAAAATTTTCATGGGTAAATTTTTAACTTATTTGGTTTAATCAAAGATGAGTTAATAATATGGTTGGTGTTTTCACTGGTGTGGAAGTGGAAGTGGAAAGTCTCGAATTTTAATAATTAATAATTTGGTGAGTTAAAAGATTGAAAAAAAAGGTGAGTTGGAAAATTTCAAACAGAGAGAAAAATAGTAGCTTTGTTTTAAAGCAGATAATATATTCCTTTCTTTTTACATCCATATAAGGAGATACTGGTTAGCAGTTTCTCATTACAACTTCTTCATAGCAAAACAAACATGGGCTGTATGACAAGTTCCCAACGCAAACGAGAACAAGAAGAAGCTGCTCCTCCTTGTGGAAATTATGGGCATCCTCCTCGTACCCACTCAAATCAAAACTACCATCCTCCTCCCCATCCTGCTGCTGCTTCCTCTTCTGTTCCAATATATGGAAATTACTATCCTCCTCCTCCTCCTCCTCCACGGTCTTATTACTATCCGGATTATGGCTGTCCTTTTGCCTATTACAACACCGCCAGCCACAAAAATACTGGCAATAACTATAATAATTCCGGCCAAAAAAACGCTCCTGGAACTGTCAAATTTGCCAACATTGGTAGCTGTTAAATCATATACATCTATTTTTAAGTTCAATGGTTAGGATGAAATTAGGTTTGAATACATAAATTTTAATTAGTAAAATTTTAACAAAAATTCTCAATAGAATATTACGGAGATTTCTACCAAAAGATCTCGAGTTTGAATCTAAATGAGATATGAATGTCTAACTCATTTAAATTTTGAAGTATAAAGAAAATCAGCAAATAAAGTTAATATAAACATCAAAGAGAGAAAGATTATAGGAAAAAAAAAAAAAAATTTTGTCCATTCTTTTTCGATGTAAAATAAATTTGATCTCTTTAGTTTTTGGTTGGTGTACCAAAAATTGTAAATAACAATTAAATTTTTTGTGAGGTTTAATGCAAATCTTATAGCAAGAGGCACGCAAGGCTGAAAAATAGAAATAAAATAGCAAATTTAATTGTGAGATTTAGATCTTAAAAATTTATGTCTTTTACTAATTGTTATAAATTCTATTTTGTACATTGATTTTCTTTATTTCCTTTTTTCCCCCATTTGTAAGACTAGAGAGTTTAATAATTAGCATATTAATTTTATAATTTTTATATGATTGATCAAAATTTTTATTATTATTTTGATTCTTTAAATTTTTAAATTTCAAACATTTAAATATATTTAAATCTTTTAGATGATTTTTTCCTTGAGCAATTTTTTTTTTAATGAAATAGTGAGCTCAGCTCATATTATTAAGATCATAAAACAAAGACCCATACAAAATTAAAGGAGCACATAATCCCGTTCAAATGTAGACAAAGAATTAGTCTTTTTAGTAATTGCGTGAGCGACTAATTTTGAACGGCAAGTTTCCTTGGGTAACCCTTAAGTATTTGTTTAATCTCTGATTTAAGAATGGCTAAATAGTTTAAATTATACAATTTTCTTAAAATTTTCAATTTAATTTTTTATTAAAATTATTCATTAAAAAATTACCTTCTAATTCTTGAAATAATTTTTTATTTTAATCTTCAGCTTAATGACTAAAAAAAAAATCTGAATTTTGGCATTTTTAATAATATTGGCAAATTCTTTTTATTGCTATAATTGATACCGCGAAATAATTTTTTCTTAACAATTGTAGCTTCCGTCCATTAACCGTTAATACTATGCTGGTGTAGCCGTTAGTGGAACCCTTAACGTGACATTGTCGTTTACTGATTATAAATTTTCAAGGTATAATTGTTAAAAAAATTGGTCAAAATTATAAAAAGATCAAAGACAGGGTTTTTTTAGTCAATTTCAAAAAAGAAGTGATAGTTTTTTTAGTCATTCGAAATTATCAATGCTCATATTATAATGATTAAATATTAAAGGAGATATAAAAATCGAGTGAAATTATCAATATAGTGAGAGAGGGGAAAACTAAATGTTATATAATTAATCAATTGTAAATCCGCTTTAATTTCAAAAGCGATAATGTTATTTGTAGGAACTTCTTCAACAATATTATCCCTTTACTCAAATTTGTCCTTTTCTTTAAAAGGATAACATCAGATACTTTTACACTAATCTTTTTTTGAGAAATTTATCTATAATTGTAAATTTTTATCAATCTTATTATATTTTAATTGTAAAGTTTAGCACCTTTCCAATTTTTAAGTTATATCTCCTTTTCAAATTTTTTTCTCCCTTTATTTTGTGTCATAATTATTATTTTCAATTAATTTTTATTAAAATGAAATAACTTTTTTAGCATGATATTCATTGTTTGTCATTAATTATTATAATATATCATTTAAAATAAAAAATATTATAATTAAATTTATAAAATATTTAAATATTCATTGTTTTGTCATTAATTAAATTATAATATAGCTCATTTAAAATTAAAAAAATATTATAAATTAAATTTATAAAATACTTTAAACTAAATTATTAAAAATATAAATTTGAATATAACAAGTTATAAAATTATTTATTGAAAATAAATTATATAAATATTACAAATTAAATTTTATATAAAAAACTTGATTTATTGACAAAGTTGTATTTACACTTACTACTAGACTATACCTTTGATATGCATGAAATTAAATTTGAATATTACAAGTTATAAAATTATTTATTGACAAATAAATTATATAAATATTACAAATTAATTTTAATAAAAAAACTTGGATTTATTGACAAGTTGTATTTACACTTACTACTAGACTATACCTTGATATGCATGTAATAATCTTGACTAAAATTGGTAAACTAACAACCTTTGGTCTAATGACTAAAGAAATCCCTGAACTTGGCGTTTTTAATAATTTTGGTCAATTTTTTTGACAATTATACCTTGCAAATTTACAGTCAGCAAGTGACATGTCATGGCAAGGGTCCTACCAACGGACACATCAGCATAGTAGTAACGGTTGATGGACGGATGCCACAATTGTTAAGAAAAAATTACTTCGCGGTATCAATTATAGCAATTAAAAAAAATTAATCAAAATTATTAAAAAGGCCAAAGTTCAGATTTTTTAAGTCATTAGGCCTTAATCTTTATACTGTCATATTATAAGATATTTAATATCTTTAAATGTGATATATAAACAATGTTAATTAAATGACTATCTATAATTATTTTGAGTTTATAATTAACAAAATTCAAATAATTAATTCTTATAAAAAAATTTTTATATAAAATATCATTTATTTATTTTTTCTCTTAATTTAAAATTCTAACTTCCTTGTTGATGATGACAATTACATAATGTAACATAGGTGACATCTTGTAGTGATGAAAGCTTGGGATTATTTCTTTACAAATCGTGTATCACAAAAAGCATTTATGCTTGTGTGTGCCTCACCTTTCGTATAAAAAAAATAAGAAAAAAAGGAAAAATAAAACAGATGTCATAATATTGTGGAGTTATCTACAATAAAATATGCACCTGAAGATAAATATCACAATTTTGGAATTCCTAGCATTGGTCCAACGCAATTTAAATTAATACTACCTCTGTCCCGAAAAAATAATCCATTTTCTATTTTTATACGGATTAACAGATATAATTAAAAGCATAATTTTATTTATATAACTTTTCTATTATGTCCATCTTAAATAACACGAGTATTAAAATAATAATTAATAATTAATAAGAGTTATTGAAAATAAAGTAACTTAATAAGGGTATAGTAAACAATTCAAGGATTAACTACAATGCAAAAAAGAAAATTGAACTATATTTTGGAACAAACCAACAAGAAAAGATGGACCATCTTTTTAGGATGGATGGAATAATCAAATATTCATCATATACTTAGATAAAACAATTTATGAGCAGCACAATTACAAACCTCGAAATGAGATTAATATCACATTTATAAAGAAAAATGTGAAAAGTGTAATGTCTCGAGATTAAATCTCTCCACCATAAAAATTATTATCAATTTAGTGATCGTTATTCAAGAGTGAAGATTACTTCTGCTATGTAGACCGCAATATTATTCGGATTCATTCGATCTTTTCTTTTATGAATAAAAAAAAGTATAGAAATTTGTAAAAAAATTAAAAAAGTTCCTCGTATTTTTTCAAGAACAACTTGCCTAGAACCGGTTTTATAAGTAGGTTAATGAAAAATATTTTTATTCAAACGAAATATCTCTTTTCGTTGGTTTTTCATTGTTTCGTATACAGTAGACAGTTCTTATCCTTTATTCTCTTGCAAGTTGCAACCTCTGTATATATAATAAGACTTCAAATTAAGATTGTCAATAACTGATAATTAAGATTAGCAGCAGCAACTAGCTATGGATGAACGAATTGCAGATCTAATGCGAGACCATTTCGAACGGCTCGATAGGCTTCACAGAGCTACTGATAATATGACCTTTCCTTTTGCCCAACTCGACAGAGCCGTACATGGCGGAGTTGTACATAGCGTAGCCATACACCGCGTATCTCGCAGCGGTGGTCTTCTCAACTGGGGTACTGATACTCATCTTGAAGAAATTCCAAAACCCTTTAGCAACACTTATACAATCAAATCTATATCACCGCCGCCGCCGCCACCACCACCAATACATTACAGCTATGCTCCAACGTGGCCACCACAATACAACTTTGTTCATCACCATCATCATCATTATGATCCTCCTCCTCCTCAGACTCCTCCTTCACAGCCACCGCATCCCAATCATAACAGCGGTGGCCATACTAATACTGGCAGTGGTAATAATAGTTCTGGGCAATCAAATGATGGAGCTATCAAAGTTGCTAATTTTGGTAGCTCCTAAGAAGAACTCGTCGCATGGTTTGCATGTAATAAGCTCTGTCAGGGTACTAGAAAATTAACT